TATTCTATTCTATTCTATTCTATTCTATTCTATTCTATTCTATTCTATATTCTATTCTATTCTATTCTATTCTACTCTATTCTATTCTATTCTATTCTATTCTATTCTCATCCCTCTGGAAGAAGGGACAGCTGATTCTGTGAGAATCAGAACCGCTGGCCTTCCCAGCCTTCCCAACCCGTGTGCCTAAAGCTGGCATCAGCGGGGCTTAAAGAAGAAGACGAGAGAGATATTCACGGTTTCCAAGGTCCTCCTTGGCCTTCTGCAGCTTGGCCATCAGTTGCTGGCTTTCCCTCTCCTTCTTTTGTAAGAGCTGCTCCGTCTCCTCCCTCTGTTGCCTCTTGGCCTCCTTCTCCTTCTGCAGACAACCGTCCAGGTTCTCCAGCTGCTTCTTCAGCTCGTTCTTCTGCTTCTCGAACTCTTCCAGTTCTCCCTTCAAAGGGTTGATGAGTCCCATCAGCATCTGGATATGCTTGTTGATGCGGGAAAGGTCCTTGCTCTGCTCGGTGGCCCAGTAGCCGACATCCATGGCCGTCAGCAGTTTGCCTCCAAGTCTTTCCTCCACCATCTTCAGGAACTTGCCCAGGGAAGAGGAGATGTTCAAGGTGCCGCAGAGGTCAATGATTGCCTTGCCCACTTCCTGCAGGCTAACCTGGGTGCTCTCGCAGGCATCACAGGGCACCAGAGAGCTTTCAATGGTCTGGGAGTGGACACTCCGGCCAGGCAGACTAACCAAAGGATCCAAGCGGGCACTGAAGTCATTGTCCAGCAGCCGGCTGCCGGCAGAAGAGGTTAACGGAGAAGACTGAAAGGTGGGCAAAGTCATATCCGACTCGGGAGAAACGCTTTTCGAATGCTCGTTCTCGGCTTTCGTGGCCCGGAAGGAAACTTTTAGATTAGAAGCATCTTTGGTATATTTTTTCTAGGCCCAAAAGGAGAAATAAAAAAAAACATTATTTCACGTGGGGTGCAGGAAAGTATATAAATAATAAAATTCACCCTCCAGCACGACACGAAGTTTGACACACATCGCTTGGCCTAAAAATCACTCAGAATGCAATTTGGGGAGCGGGCAATGGGAAAGAACAAAGGAAAAGAAAGAAAAAAGAGTTGTGGTGACATGATGGACCAAACGACTTTGGAATATTTGACCAGATTATTAGAGAAAGAAAAATTTTGCTGCTCTGCCAGCACTTGAAACTGTCAAGCAGCAAGCGTCAACAATCCACCTCACAACTGACTTGTGCCTGTTATGACTCCAAATTAGGTGGCTCAAGATAGGCCAGGTAATATAAAAACAAAACAGCAGGAAAAAGGAACCAGCCCTCCAGCTGTCATCCTCAAAGGAAACTTGAGTTTCCCAAAGAAACACATGCATACATACATATATGCATATATACATACACATATTTATATCTACACACATGTTGTGGCTCCGATTCCCGAGCCTGTGCTGTTAGAGGAAGAGGACTTGGAAGATGAGGAGGAGGAACTGGGAATGCCTTCCTCCCCAGGACCTTCCTCTCTGGCAATGCCTTCCTCCCTGACAATGCCTCAGGTTTCATCAGACAACCGAGAGGAAGAGCCTGAGATTAATCAGGAGGAAGGCATATCGGATCAGCCCCTGACAGGGAGTCAAGAGGAAGAATGTTGGCTTGATCCTAAGCAGTGTCGTAGGGAGAAACGTGAGCAGCAACATAGGAGGCGTGGGAGGGTCAGAGAATGAGCTGAGTCATTGAGCCACACCCCACAGGGGATAAAAGTGGGTGTGTTGTCGGCTGGAACTTTGTACGGGACAAAGTTTGATCTTACTTCAGGTTTTCTTTGTGAATGATTCTTGTGGTCTGCCTTGTAATTTTCTGTAACTTGTTATCAGTTCGGACTTGGCAGGCAGAGCGTGTTGGAATGCCAAGGACGTTATCAGTTCCAAAGAATTAACTCTGTGAAGTACGAGCCAGTCTGCCTGCCTGTGTTTGTGTGAGTTTGTACTCTTTCATCTTTTGGGAAAGAGGAAAGGTGAGACAGAACACATACACACACACACACACACACATATATATACATGTATACACGTACACACACATACATATATGCATATATACATACACAGAGACAGACACGCACACCCCTTTGGCTGCACTGGAAGCAACGGACATTTGCCTACCTCGGCCACCAGCTGTTGATAAAGGGCACCCAGCTTCAACGTGCTGTTCCAGTACTTCCTGACAGTCAGCCCGATAGACATGGAGGGCCCTATCGCCCGGGAGGGGGGCACAGCTTCTTCGCTGATGAGGCTCTCGGTGTATCCCGTGACACTCTGGAGCAGCAACAGAAGCCTTTGGGAGCCAAAAGGAAATCTTGTTTTCATTTCGTGGCAACTCCATGCCCCACTGCTCCTTCCTTAAGGAAGCCCAACACATTGCAGGACAAATAATATTAAAAAAAAAAAAAAAAAAACCACACAGAAAATTAAATGTAATCGGCAATGCAGGGGGAGTAACAGCTCAATTGATCACTCCTGTACTGCAGGTGAATGTATCTTTTCTTTTATGTACACTGAGAGCATTTGCACCAAGACAAATTCCTTGTGTGTCCAATCACATTTGGCCAATAAAGAATTCTATTCTATTCTATTCTATTCTATTCTATTCTATTCTATTCTATTCTATTCTATTCTATTCTATTAACTCTATTCTATTCTATTCTATTCTATTCTATTCTTATTCTACTATTCTACCACTATAAGCCTGATTTATGTACGTATGCTCTCAGTGTACTTATGTATACTGAGAGCATATGCACCAAGACAAATTCCTTGTGTGTCCAATCACACTTGGCGAATAAAGAATTCTATTCTATTCTAGTCGCAGGAGCTTTAGATGCAACCTTACCTGTCGATCACTAGTTCCAGAAGAACCACGTGCGAATGCTGCGTAAATTCAGGGTCGTTCTCCACAAAGTCATATTGTCCCATCAAAGCCACCAAGTCCAAGTCGCAGGAGACTTTATCTGGAAATTTCCAGGAAGGAAAGCGCACCGCTCCAGCGTGGGAGAAGACGCTAATGACAGTCCCTTGGAGGTCCGTGATGTCCTTCCGCAAGCTTTCCATGTAGTTTTGGTTCACCAACAAACTCACCATGATGTCATCTGAACCGTAAGAAAAAAGCGCTTTTCAGTCTTCAGACAGATGTTCCTGGAGGGAAGCAATTCGGGTAAGGCGCTGGCATGAAAAATGGCTTACCTGAAAGCACAGGAAAAGCCACTGAAAGGGGAAGCATCTGTATTCTGTATGCATTCAATAAATAGGCCCGTTGCAAAAGGCAGCTGATATCCTGCAAACGTTTAACCCCAACAAACCCACATCTGGTCTTTGGGAAGGACTCGGTAGGTGGACCGAAATGCCCAATTCAATTGGGCGACTGGGCAACCCACCACAATAAAAGTATTACAAACTAAGTTTATTATATTAGCTTCCGTAGTTCAGTAACAACTACGGTTCCTACCGCCCCACTCAATAGCGCCAAGCTTGGAAATGGGGCAGCATACAAATAAATATAAATATATTTAAAAAATTGTTGTCTCAGAAGAGTGGCGAGTGCATTAGCTATCCTAACTAGGGTTCTTTTTTTTTTACATTTTTGATCTACTTTTATTGCTTTATAGGTAATCTCAAGGTGGAGAGCGTACATAAGACCCCTTCCTCCTGTTTTCCACATAACAACCCTGCAAGGTGGGCTAGGGCTGAGAGAGGGAATTGGACCCCAAGTCACCCAGCTGGCATTCATGCCTAAAAGGCAGGACTAGAACTCCCAGTCTCCTGCTTTTTAGTTGGTGCCTTAACCACTAGGCCAAACTGTCGCCCCTATGTTTGTGTGCTGAGCTAGAAAGCAAAAGGCGCTCTGCCCATGCCCAGAGGCACTCTTCCCCAATGCTACAGAACACTCCTCCCACCCAGAGCAGCCGAGACTTATGGGCTCCCCGCCTCACAGAGACCCCCTCCCAATTAAAGGCTGGGGAGGGGGTCACGGGGCGGTGGGGGGGGGAGGAGGAAAGACCCACTTGCCGAATAGCAGCCCCAGCCGCCGGCTCTCGCCAGGCGCCGCGCAGGCTTCCGCTGCCATGGCAACCGCGGGAAGCCTCCCCCCCCGGCGCACGCGCGGGCCCAGGCACCGCCCCTTTGGAACGTTGGCTCTAAGTCCCGCCCCGCCCGTCTGCAGGACGGAAGGGAGAATCCCGAGTGACGTAGCAAGCGCTGGAAAGTTATGCAAGGAACCCCCCGCCCCCCCAGCCTGGGAAGGTGATGCTCCGCTGAGCTATTGTCCAGCCTTAGCCAGTTGGATGACTTGGGCCAATCACTTTTTCTCATCTGTCCTTTAATACTGCCCAGACAGTATTTGGCCCCCCAAAAAGGGGGGGGCTCTCTATCCATAGCACCTCCATGATGCTCGACGTGTCCAGAAAGTGTGCGCAGGCGCCGTTTCTTCCTAGGCTCCGCCCTCTTCGAAAAAAGCGGGGCGGCTCCCTTGTGCGCGCGCATTCTGGCTGCGGACGCCATTTTAGTGTCGAGGTTTACAGTCCCGTTTTTCGCGGAGCTTCGGTCCCGCCGAAGAGAAGCAGCGCCATGCCGGCCGGACCGGTGCAGGCGATGGCGCCCGCCCAGCCAGCCCCTCCGGAGCCCAAGCAGGTATTTCGCGGCTTTCGCCTTCGGCAATGGGGACACCCGCGCCTGGAGCCTCTCAGAGGGGGAGGTGCGCGAGACGCTTTTTCCCAGTGTGCTTAGCGAGAGGCGCGGGGTGTGCTGGGAATTGTAGTGGGGAAAGGTGCTGAAGGCAGCTCTTGTTGTAGCTCCGCCCTCCCATAGCTGGTGCTGCAAATCCCATGGTCCCCAGCCAGTTTGGCTAGGAAATCGAGCCAAGGGACGAGGGTTGCGTAGCACGTTAATAAAGGGCAGGAAACCTAACCAGGATACCTGAAAAAAAAAATTAAATCAAAAATGTTTTAAAATTTCAAATCAAAAATATTTTAAAAATTTCAAATCAAAAATCATTGTTAAATTTTAAATCAAAAATATTTTTTAATGTTTTTTAATTCCCCTGGTTCAGCAAATCAACATTTGATCTGGACGTACAAAGGTGTTGCAGAACAGCTCTTTCTGATTCTGAAAGTCTAAATTATGCCTTCTCATCTCTCCATGCAGCCAGAAGACGAACCAAAGGAAGAAACCACGCCTGCCAAACCAGTTGTGGGAATTATATATCCGCCACCGGAGGTTAGGAATATTGTGGACAAGACAGCCAGCTTTGTGGCTAGGTGAGAAGGCCTCCGACGAAATAAATTCTGTTTGCAAGCAGACTTTGGGCAGCCTCTGTTCGATTGAACTGGGCTTATTATTATTGATTAGGTTTGTACGTTGCCCAACTCCCAACAGTCCTGGGTAGCTCAGGATAAAAACAAAGGAAGAATAACAATAAGTCAACGATGACAAGAATCAGATAGGAACAAAAGCGAAGCAAGCCTACGCTTGCCCAAGACTTGGAAGAGCCAAGTCTTCAGGGACCTACGAAACACCAGAGAGATGGAGGCCATCCAGATTTCATGTGTCAGGAACTCCCTGGGGGTACAAGTTGCTCTTTTGATCGTGATGCCTGAAATAATTTCTGATTTTGAACTCGGGCTGCCCTGCCTTGTGGTAAGAATGTCTGAATAGACAACAGAAAACATCCTGATGCTATTCTGACTATTCTGGAAGTGTCTGGAAACATCTTGGATGCCAAATAAGCAGCAAACGGGGGTCCTTTCAGGCTCAGAATAGTTCAGCGGTGACTTGGTGCTTGCAATATTTTGAATTTGACATGTCTTGCTTTGAGAGAGATGATGGGGTTTGGTCAACGTGGGCGGTGGCATCTGGCCAACCTCCCAGGAACCCAGAGGGGGCTGGACCCCAAAGGAAGTTTCAGGAAGAGATTGGGCTGCCGTTTGTCAGAAATGGTGTAGGGTCTTCTGCTTAGGCAGGGCAGGGGGGTTGGACTAGATGACCTACAAGGTCCCTTCCAACTCTGTGAATCTCTATCTGGGTGTCTGTTCTTTGCTTTGGTTTTGACGTCTCCTCTGCAATTTCCCAGAAACGGCCCGGAGTTTGAAGCTCGGATCCGCCAGAACGAAATAAACAATCCCAAATTCAACTTCCTGAACCCCAATGACCCTTATCATGCCTACTACCGCCACAAGGTCAACGAGTTCAAGGAAGGAAAGGCGCAGGAGCCCTCCGCGGCCATTCCGAAGGTTATGCAGGCCCAGCAGAGCGCCCAGCAGCAACTCCCCCAAAAGGTAAATATATATATATATATATATATCTCCTCTCTGGGCTTCCTCATCTCTTTGTGCGGCTCCTTTGTGATTCGTCACATAATAAGCCAAGATACTTTTTTTTAAAAAGCTTATAGCTTCTCTTGACTTTCTCATCTCCTGGGACGGTATTGCTAAACAAAAAATAAAGAAATGGATGAATGTCCTTCGTCCGGCAAGTTTCTTTTTCCCTTATCCTTGAGAAATAGCTTGGCCTCCAGCAGAGAGGACGTGCTGCATATCCTGTCGGTGAAGAAATTCCAACTGGTGGGGTCTTTGCCATCTTAGGTCGGAGCCCTAAGAGCGGGATACAGTTTTAGGGATGGCCGATGGCTTGAGATGACTGCCTTGTCATCTTTTTAGCCTTTTGGGCTTTGAATTCCACTTTTACTTCGCAAGTTTTAACTTTATCGTTAACCCCACTGTCATCTGTTTTGAATGTTTTATTGCATCGCTTGAAAACCACTGTGTCGCTTCTACAGTGTAGAAATGCAATCTATATCTATATATATCTATATCTATAATGTCTATATATCTATATCTATTTATATATCTATATATCATCTATATATCTATACATATCTATATCTATCTATATCTATCTATCTATATCTATCTATCTATATATATATATATACACATACATATATACATATACATATACATACATCATACATACATATGCATATGCATATGCATATGCATATACACACACACACACACACACACACACACACACACACACACACACACATATATTATAAAAGTGAAATACCACTCAATGCATCATCACAAAATTTCCACAACCGTAAAGGCTACAAAACTTGAAATTTGGCACCTATGTTCCTTTTGGCTTCTAGGGACTCACTAAGAAAGGATTTTTCGAAATGACCATCAGAGCATTTAGTATTTCCTATATTATTAACATGCTCTGACGCTAAGAAGTTCTACTCACTGTCCCCACCTGAAAAGAAATCTCTTCCAAATGCAAAACACAAGCTGAGGAGAGGAGTTTCACTTTCAGTTTCACAGCACCAAACAGCTTTAGTACAGAACAGTTAATCTAAGCCACGCCCAGGCTCCTTGCTGTCTCCTTGCTTACACAGCAAATACTGCTTCAGTTTCCATGTTTCAGTTTCCAAACAGCCCTCAACTTTCACACACTGACAGGACGCTAGCCAGATAAATACCGATGGATGCTGGTAGGCAGAGGCAGAATTTTCCCCCCTTATTTTCCTCCTCAAAAACTAAGCCTGACCACATAGTTTCGTAGCAAAGCACAGGTATCCAGCTTCTAATTAAATAAAATCGGTGGAGTGGAGAGAGAATCAGAGTTCTGTGTCTCTCCTCTGCAGGTCCAGGCCCAGGTGATTCAGGAAACCGTGGTTCCGAAGGAGCCTCCACCAGAATTTGAGTTCATTGCGGACCCTCCATCAATCTCGGCTTTTGACCTGGATGTGGTGAAATTGACGGCCCAGTTCGTGGCTCGCAACGGCCGGCAGTTCCTGACTCAGCTGATGCAGAAGGAACAGAGGAACTATCAGTTCGACTTCCTGCGGCCTCAGCACAGCCTCTTCAACTACTTCACCAAACTGGTGGAACAGTACACCAAGGTGAAGAGGCTCAAGGGGAGGTTTCGCAAAGGTTTTTGTAAAAAAAAAAAAAAGTACTGTAGAAATAGAGTTGATTTCATGAGAAATGTTAAATCCGATGTGTTCTTACAGATCTTGATCCCACCAAAGGGCCTCATTATAAAATTGAAGAAGGAAGCTGAAAATCCGAAAGAAGTCTTAGATCAGGTAACTAAGGAATGTTTTCTGGGGGTTTAATTTGCTTCCAATATTTAGATCCTTAAAATCTTATCCCAGGTAAGAACTTTAATCCAATTTCAATCAGGCCGGGTACTGTTTTGCTAGTTGGGTGCAACATTCACTTTGGTTTTGTTGGGAAGTAAATCTGGATTTTGGTACAAAATGGGGGTTTTTGTTTCATTTTCTGATAGTTCTTTGGGACACTTGGAGTTCCTTTCTTTTTACCGAAGGCTTATTATGCCTATTTAAAATCTGCCCTGCTGTTTCCATTATTTCTTGTCTCAAAATGCCGGCAAATTGAAACACTTTTTAAATTTTCATCATCTTGATCCAGAGAGGGTTTGGGTGGTGGTGGTGGCAAAAACGCTCAGGCTGCCTCATGCTGACTTAGAAATATAATTCGATCTCTTCCAAAAGGCTCCCCAAGTTTAATGAGCAGGGGAACTTTCCCAAATCCTGCAAAAGAAAGTTGGTTTTTCCGTGGCCTCTCCTCCTAAGGACTCTTCCTTTCCCTTGGTTGTTGCCATCGACAGGCGTGCTACAGAGTCGAGTGGGCCAAATTCCAGGAGCGTGAGCGGAAGAAGGAAGAGGAGGAGAAGGAGCGCGAGCGAGTGGCTTATGCCCAGATCGACTGGCACGATTTTGTGGTGGTGGAAACGGTGGATTTCCAGCCCTCGGAACAAGGTTCATTCCCTCGTTGATTTTAAAAGCGCCCTCCTCCCCCCCTTCCCCCCCCCCGAGGCTCCGTGCATGCAGCCAGGAACCACTACGGAGACCAGGAAAACATACATTAAGACTTTGGGATGTGTTCCTCCAACATGGTTTCCCCCTTCAATCCCAACCAGCTTTTGAACGGGGAAGGGCATTGTAAAATAAACTTGGTTAACAAGATCATAGTTCCCTGACGGCAAACCTGTGGTACGTGTGCAACGGGTGGCGCGCAGAGCCATTTGTGCGGTCACA